GATCAGCCTCCCATTGCACAATGGGGACGACGTGGCGCCTATATTGAATGCCTGGGCTTCTAAGGCAATGATTCTTCTTCGAAATTATTTGCCCACTCACTTAAATGGATAATGGCCCATATTTCTAACTACAAGGGTCACCATTTACTGTTTATATTCTTCTTTGGACTGTTATGTAATGACATTTTTTCCTTTTTTGATTTTTTTGTTTATGCTCATTGTGGCACTTAAAAAATATTTTAAAGCGGTGACATAAAAAATATTTAATAACTAAAAAGTATGATAAATATAGATAATGATGATTTAACAATAAAATTATATAATAATAAAAGTTATTTAATTGTAATAAAAATTAATAATTAAATTATAATAAAAATTAATTATTTAATTATAATAAAAATTAATTATTTAATTATAATAAAAAATAATTATTTAAGTATAATAAAAATTAATTATTTAATTATAATAAATTAATTAATAATAAAAATTATTATAATATTATTTATCATAATAATAGAAGGTATCTACCTCACCAGCGATCTAATTAACTAAAAAATTGTACAATTTAATAATTGGTTTTTCATCAGGAATGTTATAATCTCCAAATGATAGCGGAACGATGTACAAACGAACAAACCTCCCAGACCAAATGTTATGGGCAATTATGCGATTATTATGGGTGTTGTTAAAGGGAATGCGAAGGGCTTAATTTTGTATACGAATGTCATAAACGATATGAATAAATAGTGTACGTTTATTTCATATCTGAAATATATAATATACTCTTGTCAGATATTAGAGCAGAAGTAATCATGATTTTTGAAGAATAAGACTTTTTGATTAAATAGAGCCGTCTTATTAAATTAAAAATAGTTAACAAAAATAGGTTATTACTGTCATCATCAAACGATTCAATATTACAATTTTGTGTTTAGCATCACGCTAAATTTGTGGTAACATTGTAGCAAAATGATTTACGGTATCAGTCCTACAAGAAATTATAATACTTTGTGTTCAAATATTCTCCTAATCCTAATTCGTTTTAGGTTCATATTTTATCACAAACACATATTTTACAGTTATCACAAACACATATTTTACAGTTATCGCATTATCACAAACATTTACACTATACAAAAGGCAACACTACTTGAACTCTATTTAACAGTCCGTCATGTTCTCATCGATGCCATTTCAATCTACGCGCTACTGTTCGAATCGCCATGCCCATTCTCATTGCTGATCCCCACTTCTAGATTAAGTCTCATCTCCACACTTTCTCTCTTTCCGCATTTGCCCTCGAGAGGCTCGCTCTCGTCGCATCCTCTCTGCGTGTGCCCTTCCTCGCATATCACTCCTACGTCCCCTCTCCATCGCTCCCACCACCTTCGCCATCGCTGCTGCCCCCCCCCCCGAGCAATGCGAGCGCCCTATCCAATTTAAATGTCCCATCGATTTGTCGTCGTGGGTCGTCGAGGGCTCGCCATCGCCGTTACGAGCGTGCGGTGGCGGCCCAGGGGGTGCGGCGGGTGAAGCGGGGACAGCGGGGGCGTAGCAGAGGAAGAGCATTCCCCGGCGGAAGCAGCAGTGAACAGGGATGGACATACGTGCGAGAGAAGACGTGGAAGGGGGAGAGGGAAGGATTGGAGACGCGTGATTCACTGCATGCGTCGTAGATAATGCTGAGGACGCAAGCGGATCGCCTACATTCTCCGCAGAGCATATCACTTTCAGGCACACTTATTTACCATGCTCGGAGCGCAGATCAATAGAGACGCTGTTATTGAGTAAACACGGAAGGTGGGGCGGAAGAAGGACACGGCGCAGCGCTGCTCTGTGCGGACCGCTTGTCCGACCGTTTGTCGTCGGTCTGTTTGTCGTCGGTCTGTTTGTCGTCGGTCTGTTTGTCGTCCGTCTGTTTGTAGTCCGTCTGTTTGTCGTCCGTCTGTTTGTCGTCCGTCTGTTTGTACCATCCATCTGTCTGTCCCAGTAGCGTAACGTTCGTGCCCACAATTCCCTCAATGATGGCGGGTCCAGGTAAAAAGATTTATTTTGGGCCATTTTTTTTGTATTCAAGGTACTAACACTACTAGTTTTTGCTATACACTTTTTTTAATGAGAGGGCTGATAAAATGTCAGTCCGTCTGTCTGTGAATAACACTAACGCTTAAACTAGTTTTAAGTGTGGCGTCGTTAACACGAGGGCCAGAACCGTGAGGTCGGTGAAAGTGCGCTGCGGGGGAGGAAGGTGTTGAGCCTGAACTTCCGGAATTTTGCGCTCTGGTGGTTGACTCAGGTAGAACTGCAGAGCCAAAAATAACCTTAACCCAGGTTGTAAACTCCTAGGATGCTAGCCAGCGAGCCCTCGCTTACCGACGGCAGGCGAGCCAACCTGGGAATCTTGTGTGTGGGGGCGTAACCCCCTCCCGAGATGCTAGCCAGCGAGCCCTCGCTTGCCGACAGCAAGCGAGCCTATCTAGGGAACAGTGGTGGTGGTGGGGGGTGTAGCCCTCAACTATTTAACGCGGCGCCATCTGCGTCCGCGTTCTCATTCACTTTACATCGGAGAGCGATGTACGTATAGGTACAAGGAGTGTAGGAGTGTGGGCGAGATGTCTGGTGAGTAAGGGCCAGACGATCTCGCGTGCTGTAGGCACACGGTCGCCACGACCGGTTTAAATTTTGGCGTCAGGCCATGTGACGGTAATTGTCACGGGACGGAAGTCCGACAGCTCGCATCACGCGTGGCTTTTATTTTTCTGCGGTAAAGCAGGGTACAGGAAGGAAAAGGTTGCCGGAGTGTTTAAATTTAGCAATTTATTGTAACTAGTCTGTAACTTTTCAATATACTATTTTTATTTTGTTATTTGAATTTATTTCTCATGTCACTACGTCACATAAGTATTTTGCTGAAATGAATATCCCTCATCAATCTGGTCCGACTTTGAATCCCTGCGATTATGTGACTTAACATGAAGCCTTTGGGACATTTTCAAATTTTTCTCTGAATCCCTCTAAATTGTTCTTAAAATTTCTTGTAAGAATAGTGTGAAATACTCTTATAGAGGAGGCATAGATCCTATTTTTGCGGTTATCCATGAATTTTCGAAAATTACCAAAGAATGATTTTTTTCGGCTTCTTCCTAATACTGAAACACTAAGAAAAGAAGATGGAGATTTTTTCTTTAAATGAAATTTGTTTTTTACAAGTAGTTCTTTAATTGAAGGCATGTCCTTAAAATATGAAGTTAATAAATAAACATTAAATAAAATAAAGGAATTTGAAAGAAATCTTGGCAATATTAAATACATTAAAATCCATATTTATAAAAATGGGCCCATATTTTCTGCACGGGTAGTGCTTAACTCACTGATTAACATTACATAAACGCCATTTTGGTGTATCTTTTTGTTTTCTCAAACATGACACAAATGTAATTTCTTTGATAAATATCTGACGTCGTTAATATTTACATTACGGTCTTTTAAATATATTTTAATGCTCCTATTGTATAATTCTGTCATTTGATGGCTTCGACCAGCTGCGTAATGACATTCAATACGATACAGATTTCATTGCGATAGAGGTTCTTGACAAATCACTGAGGAGTTTACTTACAAAATATTGACAATCATTGAGAATCATTCGACTTAATATTTATTTCAATTGTATCCATTAACATTGCTTTGAATATTAGTTTTTGCTAGGCAGTTTTAATTTCTTTTATTATTAGGAATATTTACGTGGATTATTATTTAAAATAAATTGTATCGTAATTTCACTTTGATCCTGTTTGACTCGCACAGTTGTATTTATTGAAACGTTTGACTGACGTGAAGATCAGAAAGAAAGTCATTTTGTGTTATATGTTGCTACCGTGTAGTTGCTCTTAAAAACTGACCAATTCTTTAGTTTAAAATATCTTGTGAATAAGAGGTGGAGTTGTCACTTTCAGAAATAAGAGAAAAAACGAAATTTGACCCGTTGGAATTATTGTCTCAACTTTTGCACTCTCTCGCAGGCGAACCAGGAAACCAAAGCTGCCTGCCACAGGTAGGGTAGGTAGGGTAAGGAGCTGTCTGTTAGGTAGCCTTGGCTGAATCCTGCATATCAACTGCCACGAAACGATTCAATGTAGACGTTTACTGAAAACTTAAAATTTTGTTGTAAAATGGATTTCAAAATAGCGCATTTTTAGAAACGCTAAAACTTTTTTTCAAAATGTCTCCAAATCATTGAATGAAAATTTGCATGTAAGAGCAGATTTCATTTTCTGTGATGTTCTTAAAGTCATATTTCAATTAAACTATAAAGGGGGTGAAAATGTGAGAGAAAATGTTTTTAGGTACCGATAGCTAACAGCTGGGAAGAGGGAGGGGTACAACCAAAAAGCTAGCCCAAACTAAACAATGGAAAACCGAGTAGTACGAGAAAGTATGTGCCATCTTTATAATCTAATTTCAGTATATTCCGTAAAAAAATTAAATTTTTGAGCAATTTTTGAAAAATGTAAAAAAGTCGTTTGGCTTCATGAATTACCCTTGATAATTAAGATTCAGATTTGTAGGATGAAAAGGTAATTTCGTTTTGGAAAATGAAATATTTTTAATGATTTAGGCCGGAATGTTTTTCATAGTCGGACAGACTTCGAATGAAACCACCTTTTAGCATCAGGAGACCCGAAATCTTGACGTTGTTTTTTGTAGGCGTTTGTAGCTTTCTCTTATACTACATATATTATACACGTGAACGTGCGTGTGCAAGAAAGTAAATACCAATAGAGAAAAATTTTAAGAAAGCAAGTGAAAAATTGTGAAGTATTTGGAGTATTTGGCGTGAGTATTTGGAATCGCTGAATATAATTGTATACAGTTCCTTTGTCAACAATATTTTTCGTTTGAGTCTTTTAAGAGTCTATACTTCTTTTATCATTTATTCTTCACTTAATCTTTATTGTTCGTTCTTCAGAAGTTTGCCGGTTAAGATTTTGTCTTTTGTGGTACAATCTATACACTTTTCAACATGTACCTTCTCATCACCGCACGAATGTCGATCTTAGCAAAACAGTTGTTATAGTATAAAACCATAACACGTTGCTCTAACTAGGAGCGCACGTTTGATGATCACTACTCGAATATTCTGAATAAAACGCGTCTTTCTCTAATCCGCTTCTTCTTTCTGGTTCGGCGCATCTCACTTCATTTGTTCAGTATCTGTGATCCTCCCTACTATTACTTGTTCACGTATCACAGTATTTATTCTTTGTCACGCTTCGTTTCTTATTTATTATTTATACTGTCATACACGTAAAGTCCTCACGACTCCTCATATAAAACTAAACACTTTGTTTTCCACTTATTTATAACATTGAACACTTCCCACAATTCGCCTTCATTATATTTTAAATTTTTCGTCCATATTTACCTCTATGGTTACTCTCCAATGTTTTTCTGTCAAACTTTGTGGTGGTTTTTATAAAACCCCGAAATAACACATTCCAAAATTCAGTGATTTTTGTCATGCTTTTTCTTACTACAGAAAATTAGTAAAAAATTATATTTGTAAATGTGTTATCGCCTTCTGGAGGGAAGAGGTAAAGTCCTATTAGCCCCTTGCCTTAAGTGCGAGACTGAATAATTAATAATTAATAATTAATAATAATAATAATAATAATAATAATAATAATAATACATGTAGTACCATCAAATAGGACTGGTATTTATCGCATTCAATTTTGAATGGTAATGGAGTTGGAATGTTTATTAAATTTTATCTTTAGTCGAAGGAAAGGAATATTTTGAAGAATCAATTAAACACAATGTTGAATGACGACAAGTACAGCAATGCGCTAAGCAAATCTATACGGTACCGCGGTAAATGTAGTGTCAATTTGATTTCTGTATAAAGCGACAATTTTATTTCTGTATAAAGCGACGATTTAGCTAATATTCTTTCACGGGTGAACCAGGTGGTGATATGCGGCCCCACGGCCGCGCCAGCCACCTGCTGGTGGTGACGTTCGACCTGGCCGCCATGTTGCTGGTGGGCGCGTATTCCGCCGCCATCATTTCGACGCTGGCGTCGAAGCCAATGCCCTTGCCGTACAAGAGCGTGTCGCACCTGCTGCGGAATCCCGGTCACAGAGTCACCTTCGCGGAGGACAGCGCCGAGAAGTGCGTCATAATGGTATGTCTGTCCTTCTCGTAAGGCAGTAGTTCGCTGACTGATTGATTGTTCAGTCATGTGAGTGGGTTTTACACTAATAGATTCAAAAACAAATTGTGGGGCGTGACCGGTGATTAGCACTTAGAAATGATTCACTTTCAATTCACAACTTTGGCTAAATTCTGTTTCCTCCCTATTATTCGGATCATTCCACCGACTGTTTTCAAGATTATATATAAACGGGAATGCAAGAGAGGTGCATCTCAGAACTTTATTTTCAAGAAACATTATTCAGGCACATTATTCTGTGATTAAAATTAGTATTTTTTCGAGTTTCAATACCATGAGTTTCGATATCAATACCATGATGAAGGCGAACAATGCAGACTCTTTAAAACTCCGCATTTATAGCATATACGAATACATCTGTGATGAATAAATTCACACGCATGCTTATTGTCAGCTGGTTTTCGGTGTGATTTGATCAAATTCTATAATATTACTTTTAATGACGATATTGGAACACTTTAAATCACTCGTCACTCTTGCAACTGGCCCTCCACCTCGGCAGTGGACTGCACCGACGCTCAACAAAACAATTTTTGTTTTTGAATCTGTCGAAAAATCGTCTCCTGGCAAGAATGTTCTGAAGGCGTTTTGTAAGCTCTGGAGGACGTTCCATTCAAAAATACAAAACATTTATTTCAATATTTACAACGAAGAGAGTGAACTTGATGGTATGACAACATTATTTATGTTTGGGTATTATGTAAAGTCATGGTCACAATCGGCCTGACGTGTTAGATATTTGTTATCCTGCATAAAGTAATCGGGTAACTTGCATATGTCCAGACAGCGTCTGTCCGCCGTCACTTACGGTATGACCACTTCCAGTACATGTTTTGGGGCAAGCTAGGTGTCATTGAACGCGTTTTGGTGTGGGGAACTGACAATTTTTTCTATCCTACAAATCTAATTAAAAACTCAAATTAATAAATGCTAATCTCTGGTAAAATAATTTGACTGAGCTAATGGAACTGTTTTGGCTGCAGGTCAAAATCGGACAATATATAAAGATTATGATGTCTCGAGACAATGGCATTTTATGGCTAATAAAAAGATGACTTTCATAGAGAATATAATTAGATTATATGCTTATTTTAAGCTCTACACATAACTGATTTTTTTTAATTTTAGAAAATAAATAGAAAGCGAAATTTTGGTTCATTACTATTAATGAACTTTATGTGTAAACGTAATTTTATCAACTGAAAGGGATTACTTTAAAGGGTGACTCAGTCACTGGTTGCCGACCTCTGGTCGAATGTGGTTGAAGAAAACAAGTTATATAGATTGGTACCTTGTTTGTTTGTGTTGAAAAACGCCGTAAGAAATGTATTTTCTTTTCCTACACAGAACTCTAAGGACCCTACGTTGACCAGAATTTCAAACATGTGGGGATACCCGCGTCCCCCAGACACAGTTCGAAGCACGGGACACGGAGTACGTCGTCTTTGCGAGGACAACTGGGCTTTCTTCGGCAGATACCGCCTGATTTACAACATGACTCTCCTCCAGTCGTCGCAGTGTTTGCCCGTCGAGCTCCCAGGCGCCCACGTCAACCTGAACGTGGCCTTCCTCTGGGCACCAAATCGGCGATATTTACGACTCTTCAATTATCGGTGAGTCACTGAAATCCTAACTTAATTTGTTCAATAGTTAACCGGTGTAATACGTCAAGAACATTATAATTGTAATATAGAAAAATGATTTGTAGATTTGTTTTGTAAAATGCTAAATTGCTTGATAAATAGGTGAGTTTTTTAATAAAGTAGTAGAGTAAAAATTCCACTAACGTGATACGATGTTCTGTAAACCTCTGCAATCATGGTGTTTTATATCACCGGGACGAATATCTACTTGATTTTGATTCAAACGCAGATAAACTCAAATTTGCGATTTAATAGCAAGGGGAGGGCGAATAGTTCTCTTTCAAGCAGGAGTGCGACAAATATTTGTCAATGTTTCCCTTACCCTTGTGGAGAGTACGTACTCTAATTAATAAAATTAATCTGAAACGCAAGATCACTCCAGACCATTGACGCCCAAATAGTCGACGCTCTACTTGGTTATCTTCCATCCAATAGAACAATGACGCAACTGTAACAAAAACTAATTTAAGATACAACTGATACATAGTTGTTCTTCTCAAAGCAGGTTACAGTCACATACACGTCAACAACTGCCGAAATACCGCTTAGAATAAAACTATAATTCAACTGATGTTTTTGCAGATGTAGCTTGCTTGTTGAGTACTCTCAAATTTAGCGCTTCTGACGTTCTAGAACAGGCATGTTAAGGTCGCGGGCAATGTAACCAGTTTCTTGGAGGTCTCGGGCACTGGGTCCAGACCAACTGGTGCGTGATTTAAAAGTTGGGGTTGTTTCAGGGGTGGACAAATTGTTTCAGAATGGTAACTCGTCAATCGCTATATAGCCTATGATTGTTTGGAGATTGCAGTTTACAGTTATTTCCTCAAATGCAGCTCTATTAATTCCCATTTCCTCTACTTAAGCAAAGAGTTGAATTAAATATTTTGAATTGGAAGGTTTTTTGATTTTGTAATCGTGTTTACATTTAAGAGAGCAATAACTGAAATAACTTTCTAAAGGTTGAGAGATTCACAAAGATTATTGTTTTTGAAAAGAGCTGGTTGTCCTCAAGTGAGAAATTTTAATTTACAAAAACTTGATAATTTATTTCACTTTATTGTTGAGTACAAAAATAACTAAATGATTTAATAAAACATAACAAAACGCGAACAAAGAAAAACTCATTATTCAGATATTTCTGCAGCTTGGCAGAAATGTCTGTACAAGGCATAATAGAAAAGGAAATACAAACGGAAGTGTAATAGATAGTAATAACTACAAATCTCGACGGTTTGATAGAACAGAACTAGCAAACACATTTTGTATAATGCAACTCTTCCACGTCTTGCGCAGGTTCACCTTGTACGTATGCTATTGCTCACGCAAGTTTTCTTGATTCACGAGCTCCCTAGTCCTCACCCAGCGCTGAATAGCACGGCCCGTTGTGATATTCAGGTTCGACTTGGAACGGCACGTACCAATTTACAATGTTGGCAACAACCACCTCGTACTTTCAAAACAATCGTAGCCTTTCTCGTGGCACGCTTTGACAAGTTAAGTTAATGTACACAGTTGGTACTCCTTTTTAAGCCGTGACAGCCTGAGCCCTCCTCTACCCGCACACCCCGCTGTGGAATATCTAGAAAACTTGCGCATTCAGTACACCCGTTCTTGGATTAGGGGAGGGGGATGAGTGTATTCTTGGCTATCCGGGATGAGCCGCGTCTCAGTTAATTGGACTGACGTTTCGGCCATCTTGATGCGAACTTCTTCAGAGCTATACTGCTGCCAAGAGGTTGGCGAGCCTCATCTTATAGGAAAGGCGCGTGGGCCGACTGGGTGCAGCGGCGGCCAATAGGAGGAGGGCGGGTGTCCCGTGATTGGCGGAGAAGGAAAGGGGGCGATGGCGGGTGACCAGCTGAGATAGGGGACGGGGAGTGGCGCGAAAGGGTAGAAAATAGAACACTGAACAGGATAGACACCTGGAAGATGTGTGGAAGGGAACGGCGGAAATATCGGAAAAAGGATGGTCTACCGGGCACGTCATTGGCCATCCGCGGGGGGGGGGGGTGTCTCCGCGTGGCGGGACCGGATTGGCGGGGGGCAACGGCCCGTCTCCAGGTGTTGCTGAGACGGACAAGTAACTCGGGCATGAGTGTAGTAGGGGGGGGGGCGTAGCAGGGGGATGAGATGAGAACGAGGTCAGAGGAAGTTGCCTGTGCTTGCATGAGGGCGGGCATGCCAGACGGACAAGTAGCTCGTGCGTGCGCTGTTCTAATGAATAAGCGGTACGTTCCGTGGCGTTGCGAACAGCAATTGGACACTTGTTCCACGCAGCATCAACTGCCTGCGACGCGCGGGCATCCTGCAGAAGTACTTCAGCAAGCCGTGGGAGTCGCGGGACCCGGACGAGCAGTTCGTGGCGGTGCGTCTGTTGAACGTGGTGCCGCTGTTCGCCATGTTGGCGGTGGGAGCGGGTGGCGCGCTGCTGCTCCTGGCGGTGGAAATCGTGTGCGCGTACTGTACTCGAGGACGCCATCTTCCGCCCTGGGGTATGCCTGGTCGACGCTGCCATCGCCACCGCCAGGTCCGACGACGGTCTTATCCCGTCAGCGTCGCTTTCATGTGACCGGCGAGGAATGGCGGAAGGTCAGTCATTTATTCTTCTGGGTTGGGTGCCCTCGTTAACTCGGTGATGATAATTGCTTCTCAAGTGAGAATAATCCTCGACTGCTACAAGCACTTTTATGTGTATTCCTTGAACTGTAGGTGTTTTTAATTGAATATTTACATGCGTTAGCCTGCGAGGCTTTTGGAAGAAGGTTACGAAATCAACAATATTTTTGAGAGTTGAAGAGTTGAATGGGAAACAAAATGTAGCTAATGCATCATATGAAAAATAAACTTTAGTTAGATATTTGTTATGCTGTAATATTTCTGTTAATTTTGATACCAAGCCCGAATGGTTATTACAGTTGTGTATGAAAATTGATGGTATATGAATGTCATTAGCCTCTTCGCCGGTTGTTTCTGTTGCTTCAGTTATTAGATCTTCAAATATACTGCTTGTTGGTACATTATAGGCCCTATGCGAAGAAACAAGGGCGGAGAAGCCACTGCGTTGCATTTTAGGGGACTTTGGATAGCTTTGTGTTTGTTCCGGTTGTGAACTTGAAATAAAATTGTACTTATATGAATTAGTAGATTCATTGAGTTGACTATTCATATCACACTTCATTGAAGGCTGCGTGAGGAGAGTTATCTGCATGCTGCAGCCAATACACATATTCAGTAGAGAAATTCTGATAAGGATCGCAATTGAAAACGGTTCGAAGTGTCGACGAGATTGCTTCGAGGAATGCCGGAAGGTGCTCCATCTAGGGGGACCCAAGGTCTACCCACCCTTCCAAAAAACAGATTAATCACCTTAAAGAAGTGGCAAAATGTTGTCAATCACTCGGAACAACATGATACTTCTGCAATACTCACTTGAAATCAGGAAATTAACTACAATACGAGCCGAACATGAAGAATACATCACTTCAAGGTCTCTTTTAAGCTAGTTTATTATTGACATTGACGCTGTCGTTAGTCCTAATATTTTATTGTTATTGCTTTTTTCTTTACCTTCTTTAAATCACTCAGTTGTAGGTAAATCAGGCATCTTGTTTGCAGACTGTTCAGTTAAGTACTTTAAGAAAGTAGATTTTCCACATTTTCACCTTGTATACTACAAGTATTCTCGGTCACTGATGTATGTACCGAGAATCACGGTGTTTATCTGCCGCTTGCTCAGTCTTTGATAGCTAATTTCATTGAGACCAATGCGGAACACTCCAAAACTAAATGAATTGCACATTAAAGCGTTACTAAAGGCTGTGAATTAATTCTTAGAAAGAGAAGGAGAGCTCAAAAAGACATTGAAAGAAATATTGAATGACCCACATTAAAATAAATATATTTTACATCAAGTAAATCCAACTCAAATGTTTCACGTACTTTCTTGTACTTACTTTAATAAAAACTACGTTTTTTCTGTTCAATGATTCTTCTTTATAACACGATGAGACATGCAGCTAATTGATTTTAATAAGTATTATCTATGAATATGAAAGTTCAATTGTTCGTAATTTGGATTTAAGCTTGGAAATATTAGTAATCTGAATACTTAGTTTTAGTCTAAATACGAATATAAAATGAACTTTGATCTATGCAATTCTGTCCAGTAAATAGATATTGCTGATCAGAATGGACAGTTGCATTTGGTTGAAATCCATCACTTCTTGCGTTATATAAAAGCTTTTTTGACCTGATTTTGCAGCGAATGAACAACAATAAAGTGTAAAATTTTTTGTTATGTAGTTTAATTTAGTCTCTGCTGCTTGGCATGTAGCAGCGGTTGGCTGATGTGACCTTGTGGATGATGAATTCTTCAACGATTAATGTGGTTGCTGCTCTTTGGTACTTTTCCCATTAGTATTAAACTCACTTTAAATAGATATGACTATTAGTTTATGTGCATAGATGGCCATTCATACACGTTACATTTGCAGCACGTGTATGCTTGGCACTGCTCCTATCCATTAAAAGTGGACAATGTGATTTTACTTGGCTTTAAACTTTAGACGTTTCGGTCGCGAATTGGTCATATTAGGACTACGCAAACGTGTAAGTGTACACACCGAGGCCCAGTCATATTTTCCGGGAGTAGGTGCACGTGAGTTTTTGTGGGGATCAGCATTTCTATGAAATCTGAATCCACTTTTACACTTCAAGGTTGTTAGACCTGGGCGGAGGAGGTATGAAATGATGAATGGGCCATTACAAACATTCAGACACACACAAACATCATGACCCGGGCGGATTAGGACCCGCGACCCTTCAGGCACGAGGAAACTACGCCTCTTAAGCCTTAGCGACCTAGCTATCCGGGACGGCTTATAAGATTTTTTATTGATTGTTAATTTCGTTTTGCAAAACTTACACCGATTATAGCTGATGAGGCGAATTGTACATAAAATTAATGTATAATATGAATTGTAGAGTGGTGAAGCAAATGGATCTAAGTGCCAAAAGTTCAGATTTGCATTTATTATCTCAAAGTGATGTAATTGCTCAGGACCTGAGTGGAGGGCGGAGTGCTATCGTATCTGAAACTCAAAACCTCTCCAATTATTTACAATCAGCAACAAAGCGTGGCGCTTTACCTCATACAAAGTCATTATTCCCCACCTTCCCCCTTTTCAACTCGCGCGGGTACACTTCTTTTTGGATTTTAAGGGTAAATGCGAGCGATGTCAGGGGAAGTTGCGTATGCACGCAGGAGCGCTGGGCTTCCCAAGGACGGCAAGTAGCTCGTACAGGTGCAATTTGACAAGCTTGTCTCTCATATCTTTAAAAGTCTATTATAACGATTACCTATTCTCCTCTTCCCATTACATTCATAAGCGTGAATCGTGTTTTGTTTACACTGGCCTTGCGAATTTAAAAGTCAATTATGTGTAATTCATTCCTACTACAATATATCCTTGTTTCTTTCGTTGAGCTAATTTCAATTATATTTATATATTTCTTGGAGATACGTTTAATTTTCTAACTTGTCATTATTTTAGAATTTTCAAAGTGAACATATTCATAGCGGTATCCAAGATTTGATCAATTGAATGATGTACTTATTAATATATTCATTTTAATCATTATAAGAAATTGTAATCGTATTTATTAAAATATTAGTAATTCATTAACTTTTTTCAATATTTACGAATTCTACAATCATATGTGCACGTATGTAGTTGTATGATAAAAAATATTGAACTCAACACCAATACGTTTAGTAATTGATGGATGTTTTATCGACCAAGACATAAAATTAATACTTTCAAAGTGAAATTACCTTCAGAATTGCTCGCGACGTTTCGTTCAATATTTCTCACCTTGACACCTGTCTTCTTGTATCGACCGTCAATTTCTTAGTATGCAATTACAAAAAGTAAATGATAAATGATATTGTATTGTAGAACGTTTCATGCATTTCAACAGAAGCGCGGCAGTGCTTAATCTACAATAAATTCACGAAAATAAACTTGACGAGAAATAGAGGTCACTTTCATTTCTTGCTGCGCAAGGAAGGACATATCTTGGATCACGACACGAATGCTCGTTTTGAAATTTGGGCAATATACGTCGTAACAAGAGACAATAGTTTTGGAAATACTGTACTTGCAAGAAACAAACTGCTTTTGAAATACAATACTTGCAAGAAACAAACTACTTTTTCGAAGCTAAATTACAGGTATTGATTTTATTACCTGTATCTAAACATTACCTTGAAAGTTCTTGGCATCTTTAGAACCATCAGCGAATAAACATGGAGTATATTTCTGTGGAGACCACATTGGAACCATTGTTGCGCGCTGCGAGACTCGTTGGATTGGCTCCATTTCGATTGTCAGGCACTCCAAGTGACAATCTACGCACGAGTCGCGTTTGGTTTCTCTACAGTTCCGTATTGCTCGTCGTCATTCTCTCAGGAGGAAGCTGCAACTTATGGCAGTCTTTTGTATACTTTCTTGGAAAACCGACTCTCACAGACAGCATATCAAACTTCTTGTTGGTCTGTACCAATTACATCGCATCTGTTTTGTCTCTGGGGCTGGTATTTTTCCTTCCACAAAACGGCATTCCATCCGTCGTTCCTTTGTTGAAGTACGTCGATCGCATACTTATTCCTGAAGGAAATCCCCGCAACAATGTTGTGCGCCAGTGGAGCTGCGTCTGCCTGTTGGGTTTCGGAACTTGGATAGGAGCGATGTGTGCCTATGACCTGTATTTCACTCCATACTTTTGCTACATCTGTCTATACTTGGCACAATTTATAGTTTTAATTTGGATTGGTCAATTCGTCACTTGCGTTTTGTTGCTGCGCAACGGGTTTCGTACCATAAACGAGAAGCTTCCGCAAATCTACGGGTTGCAGAATCGGAATCTGTTGGCAGCCACACCGGAACATGATGTTCTACATGACGATTTTGAAAAAGCGTCCTCGAATTTGCAACGCGTCACCTGCGAGGAAATGAGCGCCGTGAGTCGCGCGTACGGCGCACTGTGCGAGGCGGGCGATCGGCTCAGCGATTACTTCGGCGTAGCGATGTTGGCGCACCTGGCCAACATCCTGGTGACGGAGGTGGGCTGGGTGTTCAACGTGCTGCGGTACACGGCGGCGCGAACGCCCATCTTCTCCACGACGTACATCGCCGTGGGCGGCAACTCCATCGCACTGCACGCCTGCTACCTGGCGGCGGTGGCGCTGACGGCGCACGGTGCGGTGGCCGAGGCGGCGCGGACCGGGCGGACGGTGCACCGGCTGCTGGTGCATCTGCAGGTCCATGTGACAGGCACCCAGTTGCATTATGTGGTCAAAAGTTTCCGGACACATGCACACGAAAGCTTCCGCGGCTCGATTCCATAAATTCTTGGCTATCAGGGAGACGCCGCGTCCTTGGCTGAGAGGCCGACGTTTAGACTGACATGTCGCTGGCTTCCTCAGGGCAGTGACGGCCCAGTGACCGTCACTGCCCTGAGGAAGCCTGCAACATGTCAAGCGAAACGTCGGCCCAGTGACCGTCACTGCCCTGAGAAAGCCTGCGACATGTCAGGCGAAACGTCGTCCCAGTGACCGTCACTGCCCTGAGGAAGCCTGCGACATGTCAGGCGAAACGTCGACCTCTCAGCCAACGAAGCGGCGTCTCCTGGATAGCCAAGAATTTATGTGGGCACATGGTTAAAAACGACGTTCCTGTTCGTGGTGATCTCCTTTGGTAATGCTGGAATTCAATAGGATGTTGGCCCATCCATAGCCTTGATGACAGCTTCCACTCTCGTAGGCATACTTTCAATCAGGTGCTGGAAGGTTTCTAGGGGAATGGCAGCCCATCCTTTACGGAGTGCTGCAGTGAGGAAAGGTATCGATGTAGGTCGGTGAGGCCTGGCACGGAAGTCGGCGTTCCGAAACATCTCAAAGGTGTTCGAAAGGATTAAAGGCAGGACTATGTGCAGGCCAGTCTATTTCAGGAATGTTATTGCCTTGTTATAACTCCGCCACAGGCCATGCAGTATGAACAACTCGATCGGGTTCAACGCTTGTTCGCCATCCCCGAATTGCTCTTAATCAGTGGGAAGTAAGGTGTTTAAAACATCAAAGTAGGCTTGTGCCGTGATAGTACCACACAACAACAGGGGATGCAAGCCTCCTCCATGGAAAAACACGACCACATCATAACACCATTTTGGACGTGTCCGGATACTTTTGATCATATGGTGCATATGCTCTTTAAGTAGGAATTATGAATGTAGACATTTACGGATCTTATATTCCATGATTTGCGACACATAGCTCTTTCTGGTGCCGATACCAGCGGTGGTCATAAACTTACAAAAGCTCGAATTCTTTATATACATACATATATAATAATTGACCAATCGCTCTTCTATCCTGTTCTGTTTAATTGGCCGGTTCTTATTTTATCTATTAACAAATGTTTAACATTATTAAAATATTTACCCTCTGTATCGGAAGGTTTCTCTTAGTACCAGCCGTTGAAGGTAAAACGCACAGTCCATGACTGGCAATTCAAAAGAGGGGTCACAATATGAAGCTATTCTTACATGAAACAAATTTCCATAATTTTAGTTTTTGCCTGGACACCCTATTTGTTTGTTTATTTATTTCATTAACACGGACCGGGAGAGGTGGCTCAGGGCATCAACTGATGCCACTGCAGGGCCTCTGACCAGGAGGCTCTCGGTTCGGGATTTTCGATACTACTTTAAAAAATATATCGGATTCAGTAGCTATCTGGAGGAAAATTATAGCGGCCGGCTGCTCAGACCGCTAGTTTTCCGTGGTGTCTCTCGGCTGGAGCGGTGTTCCGCCAGGGGAAGACACCTGGTTGGCGAAATTCCGTAAACTGACGTGTAGGACAGAGCCAGTTCTCGCCAACCAGCGGAGGGAAGACGCCACATCCTCCTGCGATAAAACATGCACCATATTTACTGGACTAATGACCTCAGAAGTTGTCACACTCGAAAACACCCATCAATCATTGTCAAGGAGTTAAGTTTTGAGTGTGTCGTATTTATCGAGATCTCTTATTTTTTTATATTCTTTGAGTGTTTCACATATTTGTTTAGAGGGGACGTCCTTACAACGTAAGACTTGTCCTGTAATAGATTGATAAAGTATTTTAAGTATTGCTATATCAATTTATTTTTTTCTATTGAACAGAGTTACAGTGTTATAATTCAGTGCGAAGAAAAAGGTTATTATTGGGCGTCGACAATTCGAAACCACCTCGCAAAACATCAAAATTCCTCAGTTGATGAAGCTTTCAGTAGATCTACAATGGGTAGAGTAGAGGTAGAATACTATGGTTGAACTTCCTTTTTTATGCATTATGTTTAATATACTGGTTTCCTTCTATTCCGTTCTATTGTTTTTTACTGTAAGAAACAAGAATTTACTTAAGATTATTTAAAATTGTTTTAATTTTATGGCATGTGTGTGTTCATTGTCTCTCCACCTACCAACTTTTTTAAATTTAATTTTCTAAAAATATTGTTTTTTTTAATTGTGAAGTCGGTTTTGATGTTTCCCAACATGTTGAATGTTAAAGATTTTTCTACGAGGTGAAGAAAACGAAAGCGGGTAATTAGTACACGAGATCAAATATTAATTAAATAGCTTCACAATTACGACCAAATTTCATTGAAAATCGACAATAACAATGTCTTTCAACGAAAAGTATGTCTTCTTTATGTTACAATTTACACTGTACGAAACAAGCTAACAGAGTGTACATTTTGGCTGTTTGGGAAATGCCACGACCTTCAAGTGGATATGCGCATTTCGTCCTGAAGTAAGTAGATGTTCCCTAAGAGGTGACATCCTCCGAACAACCAAGGGTCGACTCAATTATGTAGTAGAAGTGCAAATTTCTACATGTGCGCCACAAAAACGTTTCAGCTACTACCTCGAGTAGTTTATCGCAAATTTGGCAAGACTGCTTTTGAGAGGAAAATCAAAAAAGAAGCTAGGCCTGCTACTCAAAATTTCACATCAAATATGTTTTTATACACATTGGTTGAATGCAACTAGTACTGTGTGAATCATATTTTATTGAACTCCGATACAGTGGTGGGGGCTGGGGTTGGTGGGCTGGGGCTGGAGTTGGTGGGCTGGGGGCTGGTGGGCTGGGGCTGGTGGGCTGGGCGGAACAGTGACCACGAGGCTTGAAGAGATGGCGGGACATAGCAGTGAAGGTGAGGTTTGGTGTGGAGAGTGGGGCGGGCCAAAACGAAGTGGGAGGGGTGTAGGGAAGCAGAGAAAGGAGAAGGCGGCGAGAGCGGCGTTGGGAGTAAAATAAAACCAATGCCAATATACTCTACGGTTAAAATTTATTATTTATCTCTATCGCATAAAATATTGTGATAAATAGGCCGACGTTGCCTGGACATGCACTTCCATTATACTCGTACTATACTAGAGTGTCTCTATGCTTACTCGCGTAAAGGCGGCTCCATACATTCGGCATTCGGAGAGTAGCGAACGACTCTCGTCGAATCCCGAGTACTATGGAAGGGTTGCTTGCTATATACCGAGCGACGAATATTCGGCGCACGCCGTACCCAACGCGTGTTGGCAGTTTGGACACATCAAAGGAAGCTGAACATTCACCGAGCACATCAGCTACTCGGGATTCTGCACGTAGTCGCTCGCTATTAGTCGAATGTAGAGTGTGCATAGCCACCTTGACACTAACACGAATGTGCGGATGCGACAGATGCAGAACCCGCAAACGGCCGCGGTGGGTCAGCTACGGCAGCTGTCTCAGCAGCTGTTGCACGAGCGCCTGCAGCTGAACGCGGCCGGTTTGCTGCCGCTGAACAGGACCCTGCTGCTGGGAGCCGCCGCGTGCCTCGTCACCCACATGCTCATTCTGCTGCAGTTCGTGGCATGAAGGCTCTCCCGCAGACGACTCGGGAATGCAACCGCAATTCATTTTTTCCCCAACAAATCACTCGCACGCTGCTACGGAAACTCCATAGATTTTAAATTTTATTTTTAAATTACTCTTGTCTTTGGGAACTCATCCAATGAACTACCAGATATTTATTTTTCTGATATATTATTTTCATTAGTTACGTCACTGCGAGAACAACTATCTATTGCTGTTCCTTCGTTTGTGTGTATTGTCTTGTTGTAAGGAATGATTTAGATAACTCTTGTGACATTATTTCTTTGTTCTAGATCGTTACAATAACAAAAATTTAAAATAAATGTGTGTCTTAACATATAATATATGTGCTTTTCTTGTAAGAAGTTCTACTGAAAATTATATATTGTAAAATGTTAATGCAAAAATTGATATGAAGGGAAAAAAGAACATAACATGCATTGGAAAACACATTGCGACACTGAGTAGAGAACTGATGCAATATTAATGTTGTTTTATTTGGAAGGTATGTAGTAATTTGTTACAAGAGAGTAAAATAATTTTATTCAGGAGGGAACTACTTTATCTCCTAGTTGACATTAACTGGAGGAGCTAATGGTCACGACTGAATACCTGTTGAAAATATTTTGACTGTTAAACATTATTTTAGTAATTATCATTACATATAAACAAGAACAAGGAATTTTTAATTAAATATCTGAGTATTACATGAACTCTCAAATGGAATGCATCAAAATAATATTTGCTGCCAAGGATACAGCAATTCACCCCCCACCAACCACGCTAGTTGTACTAAAAATTAAATTAAATTTTAAGACCAAGTTCAAATTTTATATTTTTTAAAATATATTAACTCATAATATCAGATTGTTATATTCCCAACATGTTTCTTCCCATCTACAAATGAGTTGATGAACCATCTGTGAATTAATTACTAACAATGAAAAATTAAATTTGGTTGTTATTTGAGTTTATTTTACAGTTTACTATATAAACCTAAAAGATGATTGTAAAACATTGAAAAACACATTAACAAAACTGAAATGGCAGCTTAACCCGTAAAAACGTTATACAAAATAATTCAATAATACAACATTTTCATTCTAGGAAAATAATTGTTATTCTTTAACATTAATGAATACATCCTGGTTCATAGCAAATCTATAAGGCCTTTACTTTCGCGAACCGCCTTAATATGTTATTACCTGTACATTAGTGTAATTTCGAACATATAGATAATTACTCATCCAGCCAGCTTATTTTCGCGGTTCTTAGAAAATGTATATTTTCGTATAGATCGACGACCTTGCTCAAAAGAGTGCGATCACTTGCAGTTAATATCTTAACGTTTTTTAGCCAACAAATGCCTCTGAAATGTATCACTCCATTGTTATTTGTGTAAAATTATTTCGAAAATTATTTCTACATAATATTTTGAATTATTTCAACAAAATTGTTTTAGCCTAAGTCTTAATAACGATGAGGATGAGAATGTATGCAAATATTACTAGAGAATGTTACTCCAAAGGACGAAAACCTGCTTCGCTAGAAAAACGGTGCGGAATTAAACATCAAAAGTCAATCTCAACACTAATCGATTTATTGCCTTTTAAACGTAAATGGATGTGCATAAATAACTGCCGCGAGAACCGAACAATAATCACCAGATGTTCAGAGTACGTTAAGTGGTCCCGGTAAATGGCGGCGTATTTTCTTCCGAGAGTATAATGGAATAGTCGTATACGTTACCTTTTTCCAAGGCGAGAGAATTATATTTTCTATTCTAGGAATATTACCCAAGCATTTCATTTTTATTTCGCATTTTAGATTACTCATCTTGTCTCATTTAAATTTCTTGCTTTTTGATTGTAAAAAATTCTTCGTATATATGGTATAAGAGACACAAAATTCGGAATAGAAATCGAAATTCGAAAAAAAAGACGTAAAATTAAAATTATTCCATCACCTAAAAGTGAAATTATGGTTAAAAATCTCACATATTTTCTTTTTTTATCGGTAAATGTTACATAAAATATGGAAACTTTTAACTCAAGAACACTTCATTCATCACTTAAAAATTCCTAACAAAACGGAATGCCGGAGATAAACATGCATGTCTTTATTTTATTGAAATTTCAAAAGTTTAAGTAAAAATGGGCTTGTCTTTGAACTGGATTAGTTCTATCCCTAGAAAAAATTCAAATTTTTTTTTAGGGATGGTATTCGATTCAGGGGCGCTACAGCTGAGAACTGAGAACGCGCCCCCTTTTGAGTCATTCTCACAACGGAGACGCTCCTGTTTTAGGGCGTATAATATTGATGGATTGATGACTCCGGGCGTGTCAACTGCTAAGGTATTTAGTCCCGTATGTGTAGTGCAAGTTTTATCACGGGGAAAACGTGATTTTCCACGTTAGATAGCGAGATCAGGCGCCGACCTACCTGTCAGATTGCGGCCTTTCCCCACAACCAGGAATCTCGCACCAGCGGGACACCGCCCCGTCTGGACAAGCTCTAAGATCCCCACTGGTCTCCCGGCATGTGTGGTGGTGTAGTGTAAGTGTAAGTGTGTGTAAGCGGTGAGGATAGGACAAGGAAGCGGAAGAAAAGATCGCGCGCAGTCTATGTCTCGTTTGGTAGGGCACAGCTCCGCCATTCACTTGGTGTTGATCCGCGAAACCTCGGAAATCTATGGATTAGAACTGCCAGCCGCAAGAATTCTCCTCCAGACGGATTCAGAATCCTCGTAGGTTCGTAGCTCATGTCAAACATCCTGCTATCAATGGGACTTGAACCCTAGGACCATGGAATTATGTAATAATTGGATTATATCAAATTGCTGTTTAAATAAATGTATTTAATTCTTATGATCCTGTACATTTGAACACAAAATTAAGCGATAACTATCGACATTTTTAAAACTCTGTTTATAATTGATTTAAATAGTATTGAGAAATACATCGGCTTCACAAAAAGTTCTCAGTTTTATGATTAAATGTACTCGACAAGTTTTAAAAAACTTGAATCTTCACTTTTCAAAATTCAAGAGGTTTGATTCAAAATACAAGTACGATGTTCACGGTATAAAAGAAACATCTCTTTTTGAGTAGAACATTAAAGGAAAAAACAATTTGAAGACTTTTAATTAAATGGTCGTTTAATCTACTCCTCAAAATTAAAATATTCATTTAAATTCAAGGAGATCGAGTCACTCAAATTGAATGAGGGGCAATTTTGATGATACTCTTATGAAACGTTTAACCGCTAGTAGTATGCACATACGTACAGAGGTTTTGAAGAAAAACAACACATTTTAGATTTCAGCTACAGATGTATCAAGAATCCTAAATTCGAGAATATAATTTACAACTTGTTTTACCATTAGTACAATTTGATATTTTGTTGAAGTGATAAGGAAATGAGCAATATAAGTGAATAAAATCATGTGTTTACGTAATTTTTCCGAAGTCAAATACTTAAGATGAATGACCAATGACTTCTACACAGACAGACCTCTTCTTTTGTACACAAACCTGGTACACAAAAGTTTTTTGATCATATTATCTGTACGATAGCCATGTTACATGAACTGAAGCAGAATAAGAATATTGGTAACACAAAATCCTCCAGCTGCCAACAAGAGCTTCCTGTCGACGGTCAGAAGGCCAGCCGCATTGATCTGCAGATGCTCGTGCAACAGCTGTTGTGACAGATGCATCAGTGCAGATACCGCCTCATTCACCTCTGGTCGCGAATTCTTCATTTTCTGAAACAGCAAAGCTCAACGTAACTATCGTATGCTGGGAGAACAGAAAATATTACGAATTCTTGCTTAAAATGTGCAATATTCGTCCATAATTTATTACAGAACTAGTCCATTAGACAATTTTACAACATAGGCACCATGCGATTGTACATCATAGAACAGATTTCCAATACCCTCAAAAAAAAAGTATTTCAAGTAAGCAGCAAGTTATGTAAACATTGCTTCCCCACTTTAGGTAGCTTCGGCTTTTTAAAGTATTTTTAAGTGAAACAAAGAGATGGTATTTAGACATAGAAACGGTATTCTGGATGCTCTGACAACGTTTTTAGCGTTTTCTTTTGCAGAATTTGACTAATGTGCATATGGTGTGCCACTTCTTAAATAGTCACTTATCGGCTATTCAGACTCAGAGCATGGAGTTGCGCAATTTTGAGATCAGCAGCGGATGAGGTAGGATATCTTGCTATTTTCTGATCTTGCATGCTCGTTTGACTGCTTTTATATGAATCAGTCCACTTGCTAACTCTTCCCCAGAAAAAAATTGCACCCACTTTGTGCTGAAACTATTATAAGAATTTCAGCTTTTGGTACACATTCAAAAAACGAATTACGAAAGTCATAACGCGTTTGGTGCAATCAGAGAGTCTACTGTCGAGTCATGTTTTCGTCTCAAAAACTCAAGCGAACATTAGATGACAACACTGAAACCCAACATACGGAAACTGAACGATATAATCTTATGGGTTGAATATTTTCGATGTTGCACAGTCAACCTAGAGGCAATTATAACGAAAGTGCAGTTACTTATTAACTCTCTGTCGTGAAAGTACGGTGGTACATCAGTCAATTGGTCAGCAACAGAGGATGATCAACAATATTGCAAGTTATGGAGGGACATGAATATATCGTGGGTAAAAATCTGAGGCCTCCTAATGAAAATTTTAACCAGTGGTGGTGGTGGTAGGCAGTACCAATTTGTAAAATTACTTGTTACTTTAACTCGTATATTATTTTTTATTATTACTATTTTTGTTATTATTATTATTATTATTATTATTATTATTATTATTATTATTATTATTACTTGAAAATATTGCAATTTTCTAAAATTCAGAGAGAACAACACAAATTAGACCTTTTAATATTCATTTACTCAATCTGAGGAATATATGTTTCAAACCAGATTTCATGCCGTAATTTTAGATTTATTTGCTGTTACTTCAATATGTAGGAAAAACGATTTTAAAAAAATTGTACATGATTGTAATTGTAAACGATATATTCTTTTTGAACATATATCATTGATCTCATCTCACAAAAATATCTCTCATCAATGTTGTAGTTGGAATGTTCAAAAATTTCAAAAATTCGAAGAATCCAATAAGATTTTGATTACCCCTGTAGATGCCTTAATCATCTCTGAAAACACGGTTGTAAGGCTAAGAACTTAAGTTATGTGTTCTTTTTTTAAAAGTTTTTTTTATTTATTATCTTTTTTAAAAAGTTTTTTCGAAAATTTTCTCAGATTGTTCTGAAAGGATTTCGGATTCGAAAAA